TGTATGCCTAGAGCTGATCCATGTTGTTGTACAGTAGAAACTAGTGTGACATTGTAAAGCAAGTGTACTCCAATTATAATAAATAAATATAAATAAATTTAGAAAAAATAGGATTCACTATAACGAAGTAATATTGTATATAAACTTCCAGCAAAGCACTCAGCACACAGTGGCTGCTCAATAAATGTTGGTTATTTTGGAGGGAAAAAAGAACAGTGAGATAACAACACACACTTAATAGAATGGCTCAAATAAAATACCAATTGCTAGCAAGGAAGTAGATCAACTAGAACTTTGTACATTGTTCACGCAGAATAGTATGCATGTGTGTGTGCTATGTCCCTTCAGTCACCTCTGACTCTTTGTGATTCTATAGGCATGAATACTGGAGTGGCCTGCCATCCCCTCCTCCAGGGAATCTTCCCAAACCAGGGATCAAACCCACATCTCCTGCATTAGCAGGCAGATTCTTTACCACACAGGTACTTATAAAATTAATCATATACTTATATGTATTAGTCAAAATTCTCTAGAGAAACAACACTAGTAGAATATCTATAGATATATAGAGAGAAATTTACTTTGGGGGTTTATCTCATGCAATTATTGAGGCTCAGATGGCCCATAACATACTATCTTTAAGCTGGAGGCCAAGGAAAACCAATAATGTAGTTCTTGTCCAAACTCAAAGGCCTAAGGAGGATGGATATAATATAACCCAATATAACCCAAAGTCCTGAAAACAAGGAGTGCCAATGTCCAAGGGCAAGAACAAGAAATATAAGCAAGGATTTGGAAAGAAAGAAGTAAAACTTTTTATTCATAGACATCATGATTGCCAATGTAGAAAATCTAATGAAATTTACAATAAAAGCTACTGGAACAAATAAGTAAACTTCGGAAGGTTGTAAAATAGAAGATCTATATGTGAAAATCAATTGTATTTCTGTATAGTAGCAATGAAAATCAGAAATAAAAACTTTAAAATGCCATTTACAATAGCATCAAAAATATGAAATACTTAGGGATAAATCTGACAAAAGATGTGCTCAACTCAAACTCTGAAATTTCCAAAACATTGTTGAGAGAAATTGAAAAGGACTTAAATAAATGGAGAGAATCTCCATATTCTTGGTTGAAAAATGACAGTTCTCCCCAAACTGATGAATAGATTCAATGCAATAACAAGAAAAATCGTAATAGTCCTTTTTTATAGAAAATGATGAATTGATTCTAAAAATCATATGGACATGCAAAGAACCTAGAATGACCAAAAAGAAGAAAGAAATTGTAGGACTAACACTACCTAATTCCAACATTTATTGTAAGGCTAGAGTAATTAAAATAGTGTGGTGTTGGTAAAGGTAGATAAATTTATCAGTGCAACAGAAGTCTAGAAATAGACCCATACATACAGCAACTGATTTTTGACAAGAGTGCAAAGGCTATTCAGTGCAAAGAGGGTAGTCTTTTCAACAATTGGATGTTGGTGTGCAAAAAAAAAATAATCTCAATTTATACCTTGCACTATATATAAAAGCTAGCTCTAGATCTATAAAAAGTTCTATAAAAGCTTAAAAGAAAATATTTATCACCTTGAGTTAGGCAAAGATTTTTTAGATACGACACCAACAGTGCATCCTTAAAGCAAGAAATTCACAGATTGAACATTTAAAACACAAATAAAAACACAAGCCACAAACTACAAGAAAATAACTGCAAACTATATATTTAATAAAGGACTTATATTTAAAATATATTAAAATTCTGGAAAATTAATAATAAAAGAAGCAATAACTTAATTTTTAAAAAATGACCAAATATTTGAACAGAAACCTCACCTAAAAAGAAAAGTAAAGATGGTGAATAAGCAAATGAAAAAAATGTTCAACTGCATTTCCTTGACATCAGTGTCATTAGACAGCAAGGAAATGCAAATTAAAATCTTAATGGGTCACTACACATCCATTAAAGTGACTGAAATTAAAAACACCATACCAAGTGTTGGTAAGGATGTGGAGCAGCTGAAATTTACATGCTAATGCCATACCCTTCAGAAAACAGTATGTTACTTCTTAAAAACTTAAACATGTACCTACCATATGATCCGGTCATTTCTCTTAAGTATTTGTCTCAGAAAAAGCATGTATCCATTCAAAGGCTTGTGCACAAGTGTTCACAGCAGTTTTATTTGTTAACAGCCAAGAACTGGAAACAAGTCAAATGTCCACTAACAGGTAAAGCAACAAACAAATTGGTGGATATTCATGCAATGGAATACCATTCAACATTAAAAACAGATGAACTACCGAAACATACAACAACATAGATGAATCTCAAAATAACTATGCTGAGTACACATGCTATATGATTCCCTTGATATAAAAATATTATTGTTATTCAGGTGCTCAGTCATGTCTGACTCTTTGCAACCCCATGAACTGCAGCACGCCAACCTTTCCTGTACTTCACGATCTCCTGGAGTTTGCTCACACTCATGTCCATTGAGTAGATGATGCATCCAACCATCTCATCCTCTGTCACTGCCTTCTCCTCCCCTCCTCAATCTTCCCCAGCATCAGGGTCTTTTCCAATGAGTTGGCTCTATGCATCAGGTGTCCAAAGTATTGGAGTTCAGCTTCAGCATCAGTTCTTTCAGTGAATATTCAGGGTTGATCTTCTTTAGGATTGACTGGTTTGATCTCTTTGCAATCCAAGGGACTCTCAAGAGTCTTCTCCAGCACCACAGTTTGAAAGCATCAATTCTTCAGTGTTCAGTGTTCTTTATGGTCCAACAATCACATCCATACATGACTACTGGAAAAACCATAGCTTTGACTACACAGACCTTTGTCAGCAAAGCAATGTCTCTGCTTTTTAATACACTGTCTAGTTTTGTTGTAGTTTTTCTTCCAAGGAGCAAGCATCTTTAATTTCATGGCTGCAGTCACCATCTGCAGTGATTTGGGAACCCAAGAAAGTAATATTTGTTTTTCTCCTTCTATTTGCCATGAAGTGATAGGACTGGATGACATGATCTTAGTTTTTTGAATGTTGAGTTTTAAGCCAGCTTTCTCACTCTCCTCGCTCACCTTCATCAAGAGGCTCTTTAGTTCCTCTGTATTTTCGGCCATAACAGTGGTATCATCTGCATATCTGAAGCTACTGATATTTCTCCAGGCAATCTTGATTGCAGCTTGTGATTCATCCAACCCTGCATTTCACATGATGTACTCTGCATATAAGTTAAATAACAGGGTGACAATGTACAATCTTGATGTATTCCTTGCCCAGTTTGGAACCAGTACTTTGTTTCAGTCCAGTTCTAATTGTTGCTTCTTGACCTGTATACGGGTTTCTCAGGAGGCAGGTAAGATAGTCTGGTATTCCCACCTTTTGAAGAATTTTCCACAGTTTGTTGTTATCCACACAGTCAAGGGTGTTAGCATAGTCAATGAAGCAGAAGGAGACGTTTTTCTGGAACTCTATAGTGACAGCAAGCAGATCAGCAGAGGAAGCTGTAGTGAGGGTGGGATGGTGGGCTGAACCGAGGCGGCAAGTGGAAAGTTAAAGATTTGGATTTGTTCACGATCATGACTGTGGGCATGGTTTCCTGGATGTCTACCTGTGTCAAACTCATCAAACTGTACCCTTCAGTAGTGGAAACTTTTTACTTACTTCATCCTGTATGACAGACCCTAGGATGTAGAGATCCATCCTCATCTCTACAAATGACCCAATTTTGTTCCTTTAGTGACTGAGTAATATTCTATTGTGTACGTGTACCACATACTCTTTATCCATTCATTGGCTGATAGACATTTAGTTTCCTTCCATGCCCGGGCTACTGTAGACATCGCCATAGTGAACACTGGGGTGCATGTGACTTTGTGAATCGTGGTTCTCTCAGGGTATATGTCCAGTAGTGGATCTAGAGCTAATAAGAAGCTGTTGTATTCTGAGCACCAAGGGAGCTCAGCTTGGTGCCCTGTGACCATCTGGATGGACGGGTTGAGGGGGTCTGGGAACAAGGTCTAAGAGGGAGGGGATATATGTATACATACAGTTGATTCTGGAGAAGGAAACGGCAGCCCACTCCTGTATCCTTGCCTAGGAAATCCCACGGACAGAGGAACCTGGTGGGCTACAGTCCCTGAGGTCCCAAAGAGTCAGACACGACTACAGTGACTAAGCAAGCGGAGGTGATTCACTTCACTGTACGGCAAAACCAACAGAGCATTGTAAAGTAATTATACCCCAGTAAAGAAAGGGAAGTTTCCTGCATGTCATTACACTGCAATAAAGTTGTTAAAATATATTAATAAAAGTGGAAAGGGGTAAAATATCCCCAGCCATCAGCTATCTTCTGTGAGTCAGCTGTGCTGTACTCTGTACTTCCCTGGGCCTGGGGTACCCTGGCTGGCTTGCAGGCCATCACTGGCTCAGCATGGGGACAAGCACCCCCAGCCTCCTCCAGTTCTCATGCCCGGAAAATCACCTAAAGTTCCACAGGTGTGATCATGAAGAGGGCAGGGGAAATGAGAGGCCAAGGCAGTCCCCACTCTCCCCACCCACCCCCTCCAGGGGATGCAGGAGCCTCAGGGACCAGGCTGGGGTGGGTGACAAGTGTCCTCTTACTGCTCACTCATGCCCTATAATTTAATAAAATTTGGACATTTCTCCAGCTGAGTGGCAGCCAGGCCTCGGGCTGCATGAAATCAGGCAGATAAAAGCCAGAGCAGACGGCACCGAGATTTTGGCTCCCTGTCATTCTGCCGGCAGCTCTGCCAGAGCCGGACTGACACGACAGTGGAGAGTGAGAGTGAAAAGGAGAACAAAAGGAGAGGCTAAGAAGTCCATGGAATTGTCCCTTCTTGGAGACTCACGTGGTGCTGCTGACTCACGAAGCCCCTTCGCAGGAGGGGCTTCAGGGAGACCGCATCCAGCTGCATTGAGGCCATTGCAGAGGATTCTGAGCACCTACCCTGCGCCAGGCCAGCATGGGCCCCAGGGATGCAGCCGCGACAGGACAGGCAGTCTGGTCCACGGACACCATCACGACAATGGTGACAGTAAATCACGATCCCTCGTGCTCTCTGCGCCAGCTCTGTGCTCACAGCTCCACTCCTGCAGTGCCCATCCAGGGGACGCCGGGCAACACCCAGAGACCTTTCTGGTTGCCACACCTGGGTGAGGTAGGGAATGCTACTGGCATTGTGGGTGGAAGCCAGGGATGCTCTTACAGACCCTATAATAGGGAAACTCGTAGGACAAAAGGGGGCTTCCCGGTGGCTCGGATGGTAAAGAATCTGCCAGCTGGAGACCCAGCTTCGATCCCTGGGTCAGGAATAGCCCCTAGGGAAGGGAAAGGGTACCTGCTCCAGTACTCTTGCCTGGAGAAGTCCATGGATAGAGGAACCTGGCAGGCTACACTCCATAGGGCGGTGTAAGAGTTGGACACGACAGAGCGACTAACACTAACTACAGGACAATAAGTGATCTGGCCTGAATGGTGATAGGAGCACAGTTGAGGACCCCAGCTCTATACTCATTTCTCATTTAAACCTCACAGCTGCCCTGAAGTAGGAGTATCATCATTCCCATTTGACAGAAAAGGAAACTGAGACCCACTGAGACTTCAGTCTCTCAGTGTGACTCACCTGTGAGAAGGCAGAAGAGGATCTGAACCAGGTCTGTCTGTGTCCAGAGTCTACACAGCACAGACCATACGGAACCCTCCAGGAACCCAGGAACAGGGTTCACGCCCCAGTGGGGCCCAGTGGCGCACTGGGTGAGTCATTAGAACTCTCCAAACTGGGAGCACTTTAGTTTGAAAACCGGGCTTATAAATCGTGGCCTGGGTGAGCATGGGGTATGTGAGAAGCCTCCCACCTCGTGAAAATGTTGGGGAAACAGAGACTCTCACATGTGCCCACTTATTTACCAAGTATTCCTTGGGAGTCTATTATGTGCTTGACTGCACTGGGCACTTGGAATGAGTGGTGAGGGAGACACAGAGGTCCCTGCTCTTGGGGCATTTAGGTTCCCAGAACGACCTGGAGTCCCATGGGCAGGACTTCAAGCCCCAGCTTTGCTCTTCACCAGCCACGGACCCCCAGGCACTTTGCACCCGAGGGTCTCCTGCCCTCCCCTGACATGAGAGTATCCTTGCCGCCTTCGAGCCTGTGACTGGAGATCAAATGAGAAGACAAGTATAAAGCTCTCAGCACAGGCCCAGGACATACCAATCTGCCATGAATATTCATTTTTATTATTAGTGATGATTATATTTAGAACAGCTGCTTGAGTAAAAACATTTAAAAAAAAAAGAAATACAGAGGTTGTTGCTCCCTTCTCTTTTGAGACTTCTACTCCCTGTTAGCATTCATTCATTTATCCCTTCCTTCTCTCCAGGCACCCCCGGCCTCTGCTAATTGGACCAGGGCTGAAAACTTAACTCAGGCCACACCGACTGGGCTTGGATTTGACCCGAGAGACCCTGGCCAGTCCCTACTGGTGGCTAGCCACGGCAGACAGACTCTGCTCACCATCCATAGGGTACGTGGACAGGAAAGAGAAAAGGTGGCCTTCAGAGGGAGGGCATGGGGCAGGGCTCAGAGTAAGGGGTCTGCTGGTCTCATTCTTCCTCAGACCCTGCTTCCTTCTCCTTGCCTCTTAGATCTCCATGCACCATCCCACCACCCACATTTGTGTAACCAGGTCCCACCTTGGCCTCCACCCAGCCCAAGTCTCCTGAACCTTCTGTTTCACTATAAGCCGACCAGCGCCCGCCCCTCCCCTCAGCTGCTCTGCACCCCTCTGGACTCCATGCCTATCTTGTATCTTTCCTCTGGGTCCTGGGCTGGACCCCATGTTTCCCAAGGGCCCGGGCCGAGCGGGTCCTCAGCATACTTTCTGGAGGAAGGCGTGAAGGAGAGGTGGAGCCTGGAGGCCGCCCACCCAATGGGAAGAGCCAGGACCAGGGATGGACACACCTGCATTTGGTTCTGGCTCCGCTGCCCTTGTGGGGAGACTGGGTGGAACCCCGCAGGTGGTACGGGCATCATGCCCAACACCCAACAGCACCATCAGTGCCACCTGCGGCCTACACTTTTTTTTTTTTTTAAATTTTATTTATTTTTTTTATCACAACCATAGTGTATCTTTTTTTTTTTTTTTTTACATGTATTCCCCAGGCCTACACTTTTTAAAAACAACTTTGTGCTTTAGTCAGAGAATGCAGAGCCAGTCTCAGCTTCCTTTTTTTTTTTAAACCTGAACATCTTACAAATCACCACCCCACGTCCCCATAAGCCATCTGCTCTGGGGACAGCAGGGGATAGCAGAAAACAGGAGTCCTTCCCGACAAACCACCTTCCCCGCGCCCCCCGCTGGCCCCCAATTACCAGAGGCTTTGGAAGAAGTGGGCGAGCCGAGGAACAGGTGCTGGGATCCTTGGTTGGCCATTAGCATGGACCTAACCAGAGGGCATGGCAGCCCACTCCAGTATTCTTGCCTGGAGAACCCCCCATGGACAGAGGAGCCTGGCGGGCTACAGTTCACAGGGTCGCAAAGGGTCGGACACGACTGAATCCACTAAGGACACAGCGCAACCACCCAGGGTGGGAGGGGATGCCCAGACTGGACCCCTGGGCCACCCCCACCTACTGCGGTCAGGAGGTGGGAGGAGCTTCTGCACCTGCTCAGCCAATGGCTGGTTGATGGGCGGGGAAAGCGAGGGCCTCAGAGGAGGGGCTCTGTGCGCCCGCCCGCTGGGGGCAGGTTGGCCCGCTCTCTGCCTGCCCTGGTACATCTCAAGGGGGTAGGGAAGGAATGAGAGAGAGAGAGAGAAGGAGGTGGGACTTCTCTCAGAGGGGTTGAGGCAGACACTTGCGAAAAGGGATAACCGTCTTAGGCTGGGAAAGACTGAAGGCGGGAGGAGAAAGGGATGACAGAGGATGGGGTGGTTGGATGGCATCACCGACTCAATGGACATGAGTTTGAGTAAACTCCGGGAGTTGGTGATGGACAGGGAGGCCTGCCCTGTTGCAGTCCATGGGGTCGCAAAGAGTCGGACACGACTGAGCGACTGAACTGAACTGAACTGAGAAATAGAGAGCACAGCCCTTTATTGTAATGGGATTTTTGTTGTTGTTTTCAAGATTTCTAGCAGCTCATCAACATGAGAAAAAATGTAACTTATTTTGCAAAAAATTCTGTAAATCTAAATCTGGCCTTTTCGGATGCTCAGATTTCAAGCCTCATATCATATGCCTATCCCCCAACCTTCCATCTTGTCAAGGCTCAGAGACCTAGACTCTCTCCTGCCAGGTCCCCAGGCTGGCCCACAGAGAGGCGGCCGGATGGTGCCCTCTGGTCTCTGTCCTGGGACGTCCAAGGGCCTGAGCACTGAGCTGAGAGGAAAGCGAGTGGGTGCGGGGGAGTGGCTGGACCAGTTCCTGGTTCTAGAATCCAGGGTAGGGTCCATCCTGCCCCTTTCCTCTCCACCGGCCTCAACATCCTCACGTCCTCACTCTGAAATGGGGGTGATGGCTTGGAAGTGTTGAGATGGGTGATGGGATCAGGTGGAAGGAAACACATCGCCTGGCCTAGAGCCATCACTCCCTTGTGCCCAGGCAAAGGTAGGTAGAAAATCGTGGGGAATGTTTTCACTGCAAATGATAGACAAGCCAACCAAATAAATCAACCTAAGCAGAAAGGGAATATTTTTTTGTCCACAGGAGCTGAAAAGTACCTAGGCATCTAGATTCCACTCTGCTCCTGCAGCCCCCTCCTACCAACTGCTCCAACCACCAGGCTTAGGGTCTTACCACTAAGTGATGCCCACCCAGCATCCACTTTGTCCTTGCAATGGCAACATCGATAATAATAATAGTAGAAACATTTAGTGATATCAACTATGTGCCAGCCCTGTGCTAATAATGTTTTTCATACATTATCTCATTTAATCCTTTGAACAGTCCTAAGGAGTTGAGATTCTGGGTTAATTTGCTGCAAATCCACTTAGTAAATAGGCAATTCATCAAATGACCAATTACCAAAAATTCATTTGCCCAGTGATCTGTGAGATGCTCAGAGACAGGCAGATTCATGCACCCTGGTCTGGGCATAGAAACCAGGCAGCTATTTCACCAGAGAGGCAGAAACAGACCCAGAGCTGCAGCTACGAAGAATCAAGACATAGATCTGAGCTCACACGCTTCCTGAGTGCTTGCCTCCTGGGGTTCTGGTGTGCCTCACCCTGTGTGGAGCCTCACAACAAACCCATCTCACAGAGGTGGAAGCTGAGGTGGGGACAGAAGAACCCAGCATGGTCCTTAGAGCAACAACAAGGCCTGTCATGGGGTGTGCCTCTGTGCACACTCAGTGGTTCAGTCCTGCCTGACTCTTTGCGACCTCATGGACATGGTCATGTTCATGGCCACCAGGCTCCTCTGTCCTTGGGGTGGGTGTTCCACAAACGCTCCTCCTATAGACTAGCAGTTGCCCTAGTGGGCCTCCCAAGCCAACAACATCAGCATCCCCTGGAGACACATTAGAAATGCCCGTTCTGTCTCACGCCAGCTGGTGTGGCCTGGGCGTGTCTAGACTCTACAGCCTGATTGCCTGGTTCAACCCTGGTTCTGACACTTACCACTTCTGTGGCTTCTGGCAGGTCACTTAGCTCTCTCTGTGCCTCGGTTTCCCCATCTGTCTAATAGGGATGCTAATGCAATGGACCTCCATGGGTTGTTACAAGGACTATATGAGTTCCTTCATGTGAATGGTTTAGAGCAGAGAACATCTGGCTGATCAGAAGGAATCCACTTTTACTGAGAGTCTCCTAGGTGCTCGGGACCTCACCAGGCATTTTCTCTGAATGATGCTAAAATGTATCGAGCTCAGACCAGGCACCATTTTGGCTACCTTCACAAATTCATTCAGTGAGTCTTCACAGCCTCCGCCACAGGGTGGGTGCTAGCAGCGTCATACCTCATAGTTGAAAAACCTGAAGCTCAGATTGGTCCTGTAATTTACCCAAGGTCACACAGCCAGCATTGATGGAGTCAGCTTGTGAACCCAGGCCCTGCATGCATCACCAGGACCCTATTCTGCCTCCCTGTTCATGAGCTCATGTAAGTCTTCCAGGAACTGTGCAAGTTGCCCATCACTCTCTCCATCGGAGAAAACCAACACCCAGGAGGGTAATCACACCAGGCACTGTTTTAACTGCCTTACAAATTCAGCTCCTTTAATTGTCACAGTCACCCTGAAGGTAAGTACTAGAGTTACCCCACTTTACAGATTAGGAAACCAAGGCCCAAATGAGGTAAATGAATGGCCTAATGTCCCACAGCTGCTATCTGGGGGAGTTGGGATCCTGGTCTGTCTGATTCCAGAGTCCAGGTTCTACCTTCACCCTGGCTGCACTGTGTTCCCAGGGCACAGACAGTCCTCACAAGGACGCACATGGAACCACGCCCGCTGCTGTACCTCACGATGCAGCCACCACAGGCCTGGGCCCCCTGATTCTTCCTGAAACCACTGAGCTCCTCCCTTGCAAGCCCTTCTCCCAACTGTCCCATCCCCAGGCTAGTGAGATGGGCACAGTCAGAGCCCGTGGCCACCCAACAGGGAGTGCCCTTCCCCCCGCCCAAGGCTCCCCATGCCAGCCCCCTGCCATCCTGATGACAGCACCTGCCCCCAGTTAGGCTAGCCGACACAGACTCAAGGTCTTACATCAAGAAGAAAATCTGGCCCAATGTGAACATGAAGCCCTGAGCCTTCAGGCTTCAGCCACCACCATCCTACCCACGGCCCTGGAGCTGTCAGCGCCTCCAGCCATCACCACAGTGACTGGTCCATGGAAACACACCCGCCCTCATTAGCAAATTTGTACCCATGACACGCAGACTCAGCAGCACGTTTTATTTTCTTTGAACAAATCAACTTTCCATCACAACGTGAAGAGTGGAACGTATTCAGATATCAGAGGTCTAGAAATGAATATCCAATTCTGCGGGGTTTATTGATCTCACCCAGCTGGCCCTCCGGGATCCCGCAAGGCCTGGCTGTGTTCTCAAAGCCCTGCGTGTCCCTCCCCCGATGGAATGGCACTTCTCTCTTGTTTCCTTTCTTTCCCCCACCTGCCTTCCCCTCCCTCCCTCCTCTCTGCCTCTCTCTCCCCTCCCCCTCATCCTCTCTCGCTAGTTATAATCTCTGAGAACAGGAAAACACAAATTCAGAGCGGCATTGTCTTTAATTAATTAGGATTTTGTTCTTTATTGAAGTGCTCCAAGGTGAAGGTTTTCAAAAGAGACAATGAAGGTGCTGGTCATAATTAACACTGCCCTGCTCTCTGGAAAATAGGAATTCTTCCAGGGTGTGAATTTCTTTTTAAAGAGCTATTGCATGGTAAATGCAGGGAAGGCCGGCCCAAGGGGTTAGCAGATAGGATGGCATTAGTGGTAAAGAACCTGCCTGCCAATACAGGAGACTTAAGAGACACGGGTTCAATCTCCCTAAGTAGGGAAGATTCTCTGGAGGAGGTCATGGCA